TAACGGTACTGTTCAATAATTTCCACATTCTATTGGATCACCTTTCTTTGGAATGGGCAAAAATATGGATCTCTTCCAGTCAGTTGGCCAGGTAGGTGTTCTTCCAAATTTCTTGGCATAGATGAGTAAGCACCTCCAGTGCTGTATCCATTTGTTGACACATCTCAACTGGTATTCCATCAATTACTGGAGCCCTGTTTTTCACCAATGCCTTCAGTGCAGCTTGGAATTCTTTTGTCACTACCATCAGTTCTTGATCATATGATACCTCCTGAAATGGTTGAAAATCGACCAATTCTTTTTGATATAGTGACCCTATGTATTCTTTCCATCTTCTTTTGATGCTTCCTGTGTCTTTAATATTGTCCCTGTAGAATCCTTCAATATTGCAACTCGAGGCTTGAATTTTTTCTTCAGTTCTTCCAGCTTGAGAAATGCTAAGCGTGTTCTTCCCTTTTGGTTTTCTATCTCCAGGTCTTTGCACATTTCATTATAATACTTTGTCTTCTGGGGCTGCCCTTTGAACTCTTCTGTTCAGCTCTTTTACTTCATCATTTCTTCTTTTTGCTTTAGCTACTTTACCTATATTCAAGAGTAACTTTCAGAGTCTCTCCTGACATCCATTTTGGTCTTTTCTTTATTTCTTGTCTTTTTAATGACCTCTTGCTTTCTTCATGTATGACGTCCTTGATGTCATTCCACAACTCTTCTGGTCTTCAGTCATTAGTGTTCAATGTGTCAAATCTATTCTTGAGATGGTCTCTAAATTTAGGTGGGATATACTCAAGGTCGTACTTTGGCTCTCATGGAATCATTTTAATTTTCTTCAACTTCAACTTGAACTTGATATGAGCAATTGATGGTCTGTTCCACAGTTGGCTCCTAGCCTTTAGTGATGATACTGAGCTTTACCATCATGTCTTTCCACAGGCATAGTCGATTTGATTCCTGTGTATTCCATCTGGTGAGGTCCACGTGTATAATCGCCATTTATGTTGATTAAAAAAAGGTATTTGCAATGAAGAAGTCGTTGGTCTTGCAAAATTCTCTCATGTGATCTCTGGTGTCATTTCTATCACCAACACCATATTTTCCAATTCTTCTTTTCCAACTTTCTCATTCTAATTGCCAGTAATTATCATTGCATCTTGATTGCATGTTTGCTCCATTTCAGACTGCAGAAGTTGGTAAAAATCTTTAATTTCTTCATCTTTGGCCTTAGTGGTTGGTGTGAAAATTTGAATACTAGTCATATTAACTGGTCTTCCTTGTAGGCGTATGGATATTATTCTACCATTGATTGCGTTGTACTTCAGGATAGATCTTGAAATGTTCTTTTTGACGATGAACGCGATGCCATTCCTCTTCAATATGTCATTCCTGGCATAGTAGACTATATGATTATCTGATTCAAAATGGCCCATTTCAGCTCACTAATGCCTAGGATATCGATGTTCATGTGCTCCATTTCATTTTTAATGACTTCCAGTTTCCCTATATTATACTTCATACATTCCACGTTCTGATTATTAATGGACATTTGCAGCTGTTTCTTCTCATTTTGAGTCCTACCACGACAGCAACACACAAACCACCACTGTACAACAAACTGACAGACACATGCTGGATATAGTAGGTACAATGTGTTATGTCTTTTATATCTTTTGCTCAACATGATGCTTTTGAGATTCATCTATACTAAGATATATATAGTTCATTTCTTTTTATTGTTGAGCATTCCATTGTATGAAAACATATATTTAGTTCATCTTTCACCCGTCGATGGAAATTTGTTTTTTCTCCCTGCCAAAGATATTAATATTGCTTCGATCAATTTATTCTAATAGTAATTAAAATGATTATACAATCCAGAAAATACTTAAAATACTTAAAAGCATACTGTCAGAGGTCATTTTAAAAGTTCAATCTAAATTTATATACGTAATGTTGTTCCAGAGAATTATGACAGGGTGATAAATAAAAGGCCTTCAAGGATATATTACATTAGGATAAAATTCTATGAAGGGAGTAGAATAATGAAAAATTTCCAAATTTCCAAATGTTAAAAAGTTTGTTACACTACAGTATTTAAAGTCCGTTAGATA